AAAAAAAAAAAGAAAGAAAGAAACAAGAAATGTTGCTGAGGGTATGGAGAAAAAGGAACTCTCCTACACTGTCAATAGGAATGCAAATTGATGCAGCCAATATGGAAAGCTGTGTGGAGGTTTCTCAAACTGCTAAAAATGGAGCTTCTTTATGATCCAGCAATTCCACTCCTAGGTATCTACTTAAAGGGCACAAAACAAACAATTCAAAGGGACACCTGCACCCCTATGTTTATTGCTGCTCTATTTATAAAAGGGAAGATGTGGAATCAACCCAAAAACCCAAAATAGATGACTGGATCAAGAAGAAATGGCATATATACACAATGGAATATTACTCAGCAATCAAGAAATAAATTCATGGCATTTGGAGTAACATGGATGGAACTGGAAAAGATCATGCTTAGTGAAATAAGCCAGAAAGAAAAAGAAAAATGCCAGATGGTTTCACTCAGCAGGAGTAGATGGTTCGCTCAGCAGGAGTGTAAGGGATCAGGGAAGAAAAAATAATAAATAAATAAATAAATATATATATATATATATATATATATATATAATTGTAAGTAAAAAAGAACATCAACTAACAACTGTAAGCCAGAGACATTCTACAGGGGAGGAAAGGGGAACAGGATAAGAAGTGGGGTGGGAAGAGCACATGGGACTGTGGTGATGGAACATGGGTGAAGTGGTGTGGGAAGTCCACGGAGGCTACAACTGGATAAAAAAACTGTACAAAATGAAGAATAATTTTTAAAAATGTATTTATAAAATAGTAAAAAAAAAATCCTATCCAAAAAAATCTGAAGAAAACTATGGAAGTATAATAAAAAATATGGAAGAACAAAACAGTAATTTCCAAGACATAAACACAAATAGAACCAAAAAAAAGAAAAAGATATACAAATATACAAAAGAGTTACAAAGGGAAAGAATGAAGAAACACTTCCAGAATTATCTGACACCAAAAGGAAAGGAAATATAAGAGACACAGGAATTCCAAAAGCAGAAGAGAGAGAAAACTGCTGAAAAGCTAGGCAAGGAAATAATTGGAAATAACTGGAATATCTTCCCAAACTTGCAAAAGGAAATGAAAATAGACATACACAAAGCTAAAATGACAACAAACAACTTTAATTAAGAAATACACAACAAGGCACATAGTAGTAAAGTTTCTAGGAGTCTAAAAAAGAGAAAAGTAATGAAGCTGATTAGGAGGAAGAAACAGATCATCTATAAAGGAACAATGACTAGGCTAATACCAGATCTCTCTGAAGAAACATTGAAGTTAAGAAGAGAATGGAGACACATATTCAAAAAACTCTGAGACAAAAAATGTGAGCCAAGAATGCTTTATCATGCAAAGCTCTTCTTCCTGAATAAGGGAAAAATAATGACCTCCTCAGACAAATAAAATTTTCAGAAATTTGCTACAACTAAAAACCACTTCAAATAATATTACAAGAAGCCTTGGGATCAAAACCAATAGATTAATGAACACAAAGAATTGACTGAGAAATTTAACAGAACCATAAAATGATGAACAAAATGGCAGTAAGACTTCCTATGTCAATAATCATCCTAACTGTTAACAGGCTAAATTCACACAAACACACACACACACACACACACAAGACAGAGAGTAGCATGTTGGATTAGAGAATTCAACCTTTTGTTGCCCAAGAAGCACACCTAAGAGCCAATGAAAAAACAGGTTGAAAGTAAACGGTTGGAAAACAATTCTACAAGCAAATGACACCCAAAAGAAGGCAGATGTAGCCATACTTACATGTTTAAAATAGACTTCAAACTAAAAGGGTGACAAGAGATATGAACTGACATTATATAATGATCAAGGGGACAGGAAGACATAACACTCATCAATATATATTCACCAAATAAGGGAGCACCAAAATACATTAGACAGCTATTATTTCTGAAAAGATATAGGAAATAATACTTAAGTGGTAGGAGTCTTCAACACCCCACTCTCAACAATGCAAAGTTCAATGAGACAGAACATAAAGACACAATAGCACTAAACAAATTTCTAGACCACATAGGCCTAACAGACATCGATAGGATACTACACCTGCAAAAAAAAAAAAAAAAGGACAGGAAAAATTCCCATTTTCAGTCCACTCATATCAGTGACCTACCATCATCATCCTCTCATTCTCTACTTCATTGAGCAATTCAGCAAATTCCTTGAAGGATTCAGCTGGAAGGACAGAATAAAAGATTGATTAATTATTTGGCAGTGGCAGAGATATATATGATAGGAAATTGGGCATGCCCATTAGAATGACATATCAAATATAAAGTCAACAGGAGAATGAGTTTAGAACCTGCCGACTGTTTCATTTTCTATTTTCTTTTTTGTCACTCCTCATACTCAAAAGGTTTTACTTTCCCTCTAATTTAAAGGAGATATAATTAACATAAAACACTGTATGAGTTTAAGAGAAATACATAGTGATTCACATAGATTTAGAGAAAAGTAATTACTACACTATGTTTAGTTAACACCTATCACTTTATATAGTTGCAAAAATAAACGTTTCCTGTGATGAGAACTTTAAAATCAACTCTTAGTGACATTCATACATATAATGTAGCAGTAAGTGTTAACTATAGTCATCAAGTCGGACATTAAAATGCCCACAATTTTCATTTGTCCTGTACTAGAATTTTATGCCTTTGACCAATTTCACCCATTTCAACCAGCCCCCATACTTCAACTCTGGAGCAAATTCTATCAATCACAAATCTGATTTCTTTTCTATGCGTTTGGATTTCTTAGACTGCACATACCAGTAAGATCATGCAGTATTTGTCTATCTTTGTCTAATCTATTTGTTTTTTTTTTAATGATGGGATTATATTTTTGTTCTTCCATCTGTTCACATATTCCACTCACCCTCGACCAACCACCCATGCCATATCCCATCTACCTTCCTCCCCCATTCGCTCTATTAATTTCCATCACTATGTCCAACATTTATTGTTGTTTTATTTTGTTTGTGTGTTTCTGGTTATTTATATTTCACAGATGAGTGAAACAATTCAATATCTTTCAATTTATGGCTTATTTAATTTAGCATAGTCACTTCAAGGTTCATCCATTTTTTCCAAAAAGAAACTGTCATCTACTTCCACAAAGGTGCAGTACTACTCCCTTAACTACATATTACACAACTTCTTTATCCATTCATCTGTTGAAGGATACTTACGTTGGTTCCATGAATTGGTAATTATGGACAGTGCCACTATGAACTTTGGCATACATAGAGTATTAGAGTTTTCATATTTTAAGGACAGTTACCTAATAGAATTATTGCTGGGTCATACAGAATTTTCCTTTGTTATTTTAAGAAAACTCCATACTGTCTTCCATAGAGGAAATCTGCGTTTGTATTTTGCATACATTGCATTCCCATTAATACTGGATGAGAGTGCATTTTTAACCACATCCTCACAAACATTTGTTTTTCCGTTCTTTAGGATGTGGGTCATTCTAACAGAGATGAGGTGATTTCATTGAGGATTAGATTTGTATTTACCTTAAAGTAAGAATTGTTGAACAAATGTCCATATGTCTGTAGACCACCTGAATGTTTTCTTTAGAAAAGTGTCTACTTAGGTCTTTGGGTTATTTTTTGACTGGGTCAACTGTCTTTTTGTTGTTGGATTTTATACTTTGTATATTGGAAATTAGTCTCCTTTCAGATGTATGATGAACAAGTATTTTTTGATTCTGTAAACTGCCTTTCTGTTTTAGTGTTTGTTTCTTTTGAGATTCACAATCTTTTTTCTTTAATGTAATTCAACTTAATTTTTATGTTGCTTTTCCTTGCCAATGGGATAGAGCTCAAAATACATTTTAGTATAGCTGTCTTATAATGTGTCCCCTATGGTTTATTTCAAATATTTTATAGGTTTGGTTTTTATATCCAGTCTTTATTCCATTTTGAAATAATTTTGTGTATCAAAAAACCTAATTGAATAACTCAGAGTCTCTCCAAAGAAGAGATGTAAATGTTCAAAAAGCAGATGGAGAGATGTTCATCATCTTATATTATTTGAGAAAAGCATATCTAAATATCAATGAGATATTACCTTACACATGATAGTGGCTAGTCTCCAAAAGACAAGAACCAACAAGCATTGGAGAAGATGTGGAGATAGGGAAACACTAATGTAATGTTGGTGTGAGTGTATATTTGTGTAACCATTACCAAAAGCATCATGCAAATTATTTTTTAATAATATAAGTTTATTTTTACATCATTTTGTGCATTTTTCCATCTCAGTTGTAATCCCCGTGGGTTTCCCATCACCAAATCACCCATGTGCCATCACCATAGTCCAGTGCATTTCCCTCCCCCCACTGTTTTTGATCCCATTCCCCACTCTACCCCCATAAAATGTCTCTGGTATATAACTGTTCATTATTATCATTATTTTCTTGCCTGGTTCGTTATATTCTTGCTACGAGAGAAACCATCGGTATTTTTCCTTTTCTTTCTGGCTTATTTCACTAAGCAAACATCAGCATATTCTTAAAAAAATAAAAATATAAATTCTCTATGATTCACTTATCACAACTATTGGTAAATGATTAAAAAAACCCAATTCAAGGAAATATACAGAACTATGTGCTTACTACAGCACTATTTACAATAGTCATGAACCAGAAGTAAATTAACCTTATAAAACCAGATGAGTGGACTAATATGATGTGGTATATAAAAGCAATTTTTCAACAATAAAAAGATGAAATTCTGCAATTTGCAACAGCATGGATGTACTTAAAGTTATTATGCTTAGTGAAATGAGTAAGAGAAAGACAAACACCATAAAACCTTATCTGTATATGGTATAGAGAAACAACAGAGTTATTAATGAAAACAAAATGAAACTTATGGACTATAAGAACCATTAGAGGAAACCAGAGGGAAGGAACAAAGTAGATAAGGATAAATCAATTCAAAGGGGACCAACCACAAAACTGATCATTTTCTGATGAGCTTAATAGTATATAAACATGCTGATTTTTTATGATGAATACTTAAAACTTATATAGTGTTATGTAACTATATATAGATATAGATATAAATAAGTGACTGATACAAATGGTTTCATGTTAATATATGTAACATGGATGAAATCTAGACAATGGAAATGTAAACTAAGAAACATAAAAGGAAAATTTAAAAAATGAAAAGACAAAAGCACACTAAAAAAATTAAAAATAACAAATAGCCAATAAACATTCATGTACCAATAACAACCTAAATGGCAAGTGGTATGAATTCAATAATTAAAGAGTGGATGAATGGATTTCAAAACAACATTCAGTCTTTTTCTATTTATAGGAAATCCCTGATATCAACAAAGACAATCATGGATTTAGATTTAAGAGCAAGGCAATAAAAAATATCAGTAACAGCTATAAATATATGAAGTAAAATCACACAAAAGTGTTGAATGAACATTTCTTAAAGTGCACATGGAACATATTTAAGAAAACATATGTTTTGACTCCAGTCAATGCTACACATGACAAAATGAATCATACCTTATTGAAGTCAAATCAAGTGTTTATTCTGACCATAATACCATAGCTAGCATTCAACTAAAAAAAACACACACACAAGGAAAAGCATAAAATATATGAAAACTAAACAATATACTACTGAGCTGTTAGATTAAAGGTGGATTTAAAGCAGAAATCAAAATAATAACTTGATGCACTATCACAAGGGGAGAGAGGAGAGAGTGTAGATCATGGAAACAGCAAGATGGCCGAATGGACTGTGGCAGAAGATTATGGATGTTTCTTTGGTGCATGTGGTGTGGTAACATAAATCTGAAGAGTTATGAATCTATACCTCTAAATCATAAGATATTGGAAAATTTAAACTAATTCAATATAATAAAATTTAAAATAATACCTCAAGTGGTCAGAACTTGGGGAAGCAGCAAAATTTAAGAGGGATGATTATTGTAAATCAAGCTCACATTAAGAAGAAAAATACACCCATGAAATTTTAATTTAGGTGTAAAGCAACCAGAAAAAAAGAAAGAATAAAAGAGTAGATATGAATGAAACAGAAAGCAAAGTGACCTTATAAAATAATGATGAAACCAAGATTTGGTTCTTTGAAAATATGAATAATATTTAAGAAAACCTCCAGATAGGTTAAAAATACGTTAACATACATAATATAAAACGAAAGAGGAGAAACACACCACAGATAGTATAAAACTACAAAAGCCTAAAGCATAAAACCCACAAAGAAACCCAGAACGTGAAACACTGGACTTTTCAGAGGAAACACTGTGGGTGAGGAGAGAGTGGAAAGACATGCTCAAAAAATTGTGAACCAAAAATTCTATATTAATTTCTTCTTTGATGCAAGGAAGAAATAAGTTACTTCTCAGCAAAGAGAAAAAAAACAGAAGAGGTATGCAAAAACTAGACTCTCCATTCCCAGAAATACTGAAAGGAACTCTAATAGAGAAGCTAAATAGAGAAACACCCAGAAAGAACTGAATTTAAAAGAAATCTAGAGAACAAAATTAAAGGCTAACTGACAGCAACAGATTTTCATATATCACTAATTGGTATAAATGTAATGAACTAAACTTGTTAGGAGGAAAGGATGTCCTGAAAGAACTCTACAGATACAGGTTTTGTGGGTTCCACCCCAGACGCCAGAATTAGAAATTCAAGCATCACCAAAGGGATGATTCCTAGGATCTGAGGGTGGAATTAATGCAGCAATTTTTGCATGGATATAAAACTGGACATTCTGGGCTTTGGGGTGTCTCTTGGCCTTGTGATTTGTGGTTGATCTCTTGCCTTTTCACTGGCTTTCAGTGTGCTATGGGGTTCCAGGTCAGTGAAAGTGGTAGAATGCATTAACCAACTTCTCTCTCTCTCTTTTCCTGAGTTATTCATGTCCCTTTCCCTGGTAAATAAACCCACTATTAACCTTTTTGTGTGTGCTAGCAGTTGAAATTTGTTGTAAGTCCCTTTTAAGTCCACAGGTGAAGACAGTCAAGCAACCCAATTCACTAGGGGTTACCCTGTAACAAACTCACAAATTAAAAGACACAAAGTATCTGACTGAATTAGGAAACAGAATCCAACCTACTTTTGTCTCCTGGAAACACATATGAGCTCCACAGATGCACACAGGATCAAAGTAAAGG